TGGGGGGAGGGGGTAGATGACACATGGCAAAATGAAATCTGTGGAGGGAAAAAAGATTATTTTTTAAAAATCTCATTGATGGAGCACGAAACGTTCCCCCTTGAAACTCAAAACGAGAGGAAAAACCAGGACAATCGTGAATCGTGACACTTGTTCCAAGCACAGGGACCGAGTAAATAAATCCACACACACAGTGTACACATTGGTGACACTGACGATCTAGATCTACAACAACCCACCTAGGCTCATTCATGTGTCTGGGATGAGAGTACATAGGTCTATGAAACACATCCGGGCGTGATGATAATTTTATTAATTAAAGGCGGTTACAATCACATCAGTGAAACCGTGAACAGCCAAGCAAGTCGACGGCGGATAAATCTTGCTACCAAGGAGAGGGGAGATATCAGGGTGGGAAAGGAGAATTGTAGAAAACTTGAAATTCGTTCATATTTTGTGGCTGTTGGTGGGTGGGGGGAGGAGGGGTTGTTTTTTGTTGTTGTTTTTTTTTTTCTTGCTTGTACTCCGGCTGTTGATTTTTCATTTCAAAGTTTGTTTGTTCTGTTTTATTATTTTGCTTTTTGTTTATAACACGCCTAGTCTGCCAGCCTCGAGAACCTATAACACCAAGTACTCAGGCCACAGAGAGAACCCTGAGAAGAGCCTATGACAGCAAGTTCTCATGCTACAAAGGGAACCGTGAAAAGAACCTACGACACCAAGTACTCAGGCTAAAAAAGCGACTCTGCTAAACTAGAACATTTCAATTGAAAGAGCCGCAGAGTTGGCCTACCATAGAAAGCTGCAAACCCCCTCGACGCGCAACGCCAGCAGGGCGAAAAGGTATAAATAAGTAAAAGAACAATCGCACCTCGGATACGTACACGACTTTCCAGCGTAAACGTACAGAGCGGACCGTTTTTAAATACGCATTTGCATAATATGCACTCACAATAATCCAGTCGTATACAGCAGATAGAGAAGCACAGTCTGTCGTTTAGCGGTTTGGCGATTCTTTGTCGCATGTAGGAGACCGGAGTTTGATTACGGAGTGGGCAGAATTTTTATCGAATATCTCAATCTTTCTGTTAGAATGTTGTACCCCTCTCAGGTCGGGTTGGCCCTGACAGGCAGGGTCGAAGCCCGCCTCCGAAATTATCTAATTTGTGTTGAAAGGGACGTAAAAATATCTTCATTTAAGAGACAAATATACACATGGCAGAATGTACGCACACGCTTGCACAAATGTAAAAAATAACGCACACATGCAAACGGTAATTCAGACACGCTCATACACACACACGTATGATCAATAGATCGTATAAATACACTTACGTATGGACACACACACACACACATACACACACACACACACACACACACACACACGCACACACTCACTCTCTCTCTCTCTCTCT